ATTTTGAATTAAAAATTACTACCTCAACAGTCCTGGCATGTAAATTGGCCAGCAAAAACGTAGGGACGTGGGCCCTCGAACGTGGTACGGATCATCGATCGAACACCGTATCGGAGCGCATCAACGGCACACGTCACCGGGTCTCGTTTTCGGTTTACGAATTGCCCTAAATGCAGTACGTTCTGTGCCTGACGAACCCAAGCGAACCGCAAAACATGTACGACAAGGGATGAATTAGGGGGTGAAAGACAGTGATTCATCCCGGGCGTAAAATATTAGATGAATAAATAATTTTTGTAATTATTAACAACTAATTTGATATTTTTAACTTTGTTATATACTGAATTTAGGTTAAGACTCAATAAGTATGATTGTATATTAAATATTTACAAAAATTTCTCGAGAAGAGTATTTGATTATTGGTCTATGATAGGGCGTCATTTTAACATTTTCCCCGGGTGTAAAAATTCCTAATAATAGTTCCACCTCTGCGTATCGAATACGTGCACCATCGGCCATTTCGGGGCACCGATCGACGCTATTTGCAACGTTCGTCGCGCCGTGGGAAGACTGACAATTTCGACGGTTAATCGTCCGTTCTCGTTTCGCGATCAGCGTTGCGCGTTACTCGTAATCGCCGATTATTTCTTCATCTCCAAATATTTCCGTCGGTCGTGATCGATACGGGTATCTGTCTCTACTATTCGTTTTTCCTTGCTGATTGTCGGCACCTAATACGTATTCGATGATGATACGAATTGTGCATGTTCAGCACGCTGCAGCCCATTAAAAACTCTTCACGTTTTATTCCATTTTTTGTTCGAAAAGTTAATACCACTGAGACCGGAGCAGCATAATATTGCTAGATTATTTGAAACAAAATTGTATAAAAAAAAACTTATTAATGCAATTTCGGAACAGTCATATTTCCATCGCGTTCAATTTTAGTAAATACCAACTCGTACCCCGAACTTCAGCGCTACTTTACGACCAGGTTGAATATGCATAATTGCTGTGACAGGTATTAATATTGACCCCGGACCGACTAAACCACGCGGTTTATGTGGGTATTATTAGAAATAGATGACAGGAGGTTTAGCTGTACGTGCACGACAATAAGGTAGACTTTAGTTAAACGAAATACTTTGTACGGTGTAAACACAAACATTTTATAATTACATGCGGCACACATATTTTCTATTATGCAAAACCATGACCAATCGATCGGTATTGTTTTAATCAAACTCGTTTTTAAGTATTTTGCCCACGTACTGTACAAAATAATAAAAAAAAAATATATATATATATATATAATGTTTTAGTGTATGCGAACTAATAAAACGTAAAATATTTAATCTCAGTATGACGTATTGGAATCGTAAAATCTTACACGTTCCTAAACGAAACCAAATGTTCATTTACGTTTACCATACTAATATTTATTACATATATACGTTAAACAAAAAAAAACTAAATGTAGGTACTTATAAAAAATACTCGTCAAAATTATCGTATATTTTATTTATCGTAATACATAAGTACATCAAATAATTATATAACGTTTTATTTTTCAACGACTGGGAGTAGTAAAAAGGTAACTGAATTCTTTTTTTTAATTTTTATATTTTTTAGTTACATTTAGTTACATCTCGCCAAATCACCCACTAATCCTTCACGTGACCACCTCCGATTATTAGAATATCAATACGCTCAGTTACTATAAATACAACGAATTAATAGTTATAAATGCGTTTTATTGTAATTCATTGAAGTGACCATGATTTGTGAATCATGTAAGTTGTGTAAAATCGGGTATACCACAAATCGTTCATATACACATGCATGTACCATTGATGTCCGCATTTTTCCTTTAGGAAATAACCCATTTAGAAAGAAATTCTGCGAGCGTGCTCATTCTCGATTCCACATAATCTTTCAGCAGTGGATTACGATTCCATATTTCGTTTTAAAAACAATTCGATAACTTGAGCTTACGCATAAAGACGACAATAAATTGAATAACCCGCGATTCGTAAGTAACATTTTTATACGTTGGTAATTTATTAATATTTGTTACAATATTTTTTATTAAAATAATCTACAGTCTGTAGTAAATTGTACAACGAATAGGTTTAATAAGTTTTGAATATTAAAAGATTGGTAATTATGAGTTGGGAAATTACTTAGTGCTTAGTAGTAACACCCAGTACGTGTGTTAATTATTTGCGAGATGCCATAAATGATCCGTACATTATTTCCTATTGAGTCTGCGTTGTGAGTTGAAGAAGAGTGTAAATGTAAATGTTTATTTATAAAATGTGTTCGATTATAGTTTAGTGATTACAGGGTTAGCGAACGATTAGAGATTATTGTGAAATATAGCATAAAACATTTTGGCTGTTTGATTTAAGGTTTGAACTATGTGATATTTGTGTACGTTATTGTTTGTTATTTACCCGGTTAGATTTAAAGTGTTAGGGCCGGGAATATAAAATTATATTATGTTCACCCCGGTTACTGATTTGCGTTACCACTTTTCCAACGACCGATTAGCAGTGTATAATAATAGGTAATAGCTCAATCAGAAGTTTTCGAGAACACCTAACAAAACTGATGAGTTATGTGGTAAATAGTGTGTAAGGTGTGTTTTTGTTGGTGTGTACTTATAAGTATGGAAGGAACAAAAAAGGTAACTAAAAATAATGTAAAAAAGTAAAAATGGTAACTATGTTGCTGTATTTTACAAAATAAAAATAATTATAATAATCGGCCCTTCTGGACCAACAATAAATAATAAGATTTAAAATAATTAGGTAATAACAAAAAAAAATTCACAGCAACATAGACGAATCAATTAAATAATAATTAAATAGTTATGACCCTTTTGGCACAATAATAAATAATTTATGAATAAATATATAAAACTCAAAATTTGATGAAGCACACACTGGCCAGCTGCAACTACCTAAAAACTGTAATTTAACACACAATAATAATAAAAAAGAAATAGTGGCGATTAGCGTATACACAATAATAATAATTGATGCAATTCGTGCAAATAACAATTTAATAATATTATATTAAACAACGGAAATTTTTGTATACAATAAAATAAGAAATATATGTTATGAGGCGATTCGCGCACACAGAACTTTCTCCGACGGTAGTTTTTGCGAGAAGAATGAATAAATCGCATACGAAAATGACAATAATACACACCCGACATGGATTTTTCGGTTACATAACTCACAATTACGGACAACGATAAACAGATAACAATAATTAAATAAAATAAATATAAACTGATTAACATGCAGCGATTGCGTGCGTGTGTGTGGGCGCTTATCGGCCGTCGACGGGGAATTTAGGCAGCCGACGTGGAGGCATATTATAAATATTATTTCTCAGTGCAAACACAGAGAAAAGTAAGCGGAGACAAATGGATTGGAAGGCTTGCATTTTTTCAGTACCTATTGTATTGGAGGGTTTTGCGGAACCGCATAGCCATAGTAGATTAAGAAAGAATTTTTAAATTAAAAAATTATAAATTATTTTAATTTTAAATCACAAGAGGAGACGGGCGATTAGGGCTTTCCATTTATTTTTATTATGAGAATTTCAGGTTTTTTTTAATCTAAAAAAAGGAATATATATTTTACTTCAGATGAAACATGGATTGAAATATATTTCATTGAAACTTGTGGGCATGTTAATTTTTTTACCGTAAATGTCATGAATCAAAACTTGGATTCGTTTATTTTGATCATCTACCATTTGGTACATATGTAGATAATATTAATGTATTTTATCATATGAGAAACTACGGTTGGATTTTTACGGAAAGCCACGACGTTATCAACGCAAATACCGAACTCGGTAATTTTGGAATGTCCCAAATGACAATTTACAATAGTAACTATATGTATTGATAACTAACGGGCGGGCGGATACTACGGATATGTAATTATTATAATGTTCTAAAACATATGTTTAGATAGCTAAACAATTAAACATAACCAGGCATTGTGAATAATATCGAGTATCGTAAACAAATTATAGGTAGAGTTGCAGAGTTTATGAAGTATTTTCAGCATTTCAAAACATTTTAATCAATATTTATTAAAAAATAATTTATAATGATAATACATTAACAGCGGTCAGCTGCAGAGCATTGCTGTGACATAATGTAAAAACTATAGTGATCATACTCGTGAATTATGACGTTAGACGAAAGTCGCCAACTGCCTTCATGATAAGCGTCAAAAAGATAGTGATAATCGCAACAGAAGTTAACACGTTGTATACCAAAGACAAAAACCCATTAAACATTTAGTTTGTACACAAGTTATAAAATACTTAAATACATAATAAGTAGTATAAAAGTATAGTATACGCACATAAACATGTGAGTATATATAGTCCCCTTAGCCGAGGGGACTAATGTGTGGAGGGGACACACCATAGCAACGTAACTGCGTTCAATGCGATTTTTAATCAACAGTAATCGTTTGCGAAAAGATACCATCGTTACTTTCTTTGGTTAGTATTACCGATTAGACATCGGAAAACCCAGTGGCAAGTACTTCATGGGTCAAGGGAGAAAGTCGACCCCCCCGAAAAAAATTGGGTGGTTAAAAATATTTGCAATTTTCTAAATGTTATTTCAATTTTAAACATTTGAAACTTGATTGGACCTAGATTCATGCCTTAAGTGCTAAGTTCCACTACCTCAAGCTTCAAAATTTCCTTTATTGGAGTTGCTTTGCTAATTTTTATAGGTAAGGAGTGGGTGGTCGGTTAGTTATTGATCCGATCAAAATCTACATGATTTCTAATCTTTACATGAAAAAAATCAGGGGAGGGGGGCAAATTCACAGTAGACCTAACGTATATTTCTTTTCCTGCCTCCGGACGAATGCACGACAATCGCCCCAATTACGATCCCGCTCGACCCGATAACGGACCAGCAATTGAAACGCGCGTGCGCACGTTTGTTGCAGGTGCGGATGGCGAACAGGGAGCGACAACGGTTGTCACGGCTGCAGAAGAAGGAGATCGGGTTGGCCACCATGCTGCTGTGCGTGGTCGTGGTGTTCCTATTGTGCAACGTGTGGGCGCTTATATCGAATGTGGCCGAGGCGTTCTACGGAATCACGGTGGACCAGCTGGTCAAGGTCAGCAACCTGCTGGTCACCATCAACTCGTCCGTGAACTTCGTCATCTACGTGATATTCGGCGAGAAGTTCAAGCGGCTATTCTTCAAGCTGTTCTTCCCACGCGGCGTGTGGATGTGCGGCTTGCGCGCGGCCGACGGTCGCCCCGGCGGCCACGCGGCCATGGACGAGAGCGAGGCCACGTGCAACGGCGCGGCCGCGATCGAGTGCCGTCACATGTCCGGCCTGTCCGACAGACTGAGGCGGTCGCACCGCAGCCGTCACTACCACCATCACCGCCACGGCGGCGGCGGTGGTGGCGGCGGTGGCAGTGGAATCGGCGGCGGTGGCCGAAACAGGACGACGTCGCGCAACGATCGCGGAGGTAACGATGGCGGTGGTGGCATCGACGGTTCCGGGATCGCCGGTGATCAACGCGATTTCCTGTCCAAGGCGACGACCAACAGCGGTATCGTATGGGAACACTCGATGACCACTACGACTACGAACGTGAACCAGATATAACGGGTGACACGTCGAGCGCCACTTTCGATTGTCCGCGGCACAGGGCGTCACACGGTGACTCTTGTGGATAGCTGAACGAATTCGGATTGAAACGGAAATCCAATAATCATATTTTATTTAGAAAAGTTAACTAAAAAAAAAAAACCCGACCAAAAATTGTGATTTTACGTATAGTTCTAGAAAAATCGACACCCTTTTATTTTTATCGTTCGAAATCTGCATAATGTTTATGATAAAAAAATCAACGACCGGTTGTTGTTTTTCCGTTCAATAAAACACTCGTTTTCGATTTGCGGTCGAAATCTTTTCCGACGTTCGACCTAAATGTAACGTACGTGTAAAATACGTGACGAAATGATTCGTGGTTCTTTCCGCAGAAAACCGCGGACGATCGAGAGTACGCCGCGGCGTACACGAGCTAGGCGCGGTAGGCAACCGAACATGAGCCGACGGATGCGGCGGGCCGAAGAGACGGTGGCATGACAATGATGTCACGGAACAGGGTCAGGGTTATGAGCCGAATGTAGAACACTTGGAAAACATGTCCGTGGGAATGAAATTTTTCGAACAATGCTTTTTCTTTTTCTCCGGGGATCGCGGCGGCCAAGTGTTCCGCGATTATCTTCAACAACATTTTGCAATGGTCAGACCATGATTCCCCTGTATACTTGGCCGGCTGAATCTTTTTCTTCTTCTCTATGGCAATCGAATTCTCGTCAAACGTTTTTCTCGAACTCGCGCTCCTCTCGAATATTTCTACTATTAATATATGCATTATTATTACTATCAATACTATACAGTGCGTATATCGTTTAATGTATATAATATAATATAATTATTATCATGTACTCTTAGTCAATGTACCGTACGAATCCCAAGTGTGTTAATTTATATATATATATAATAATTAAGTGTAACGATTTCGTAATAATAAGAAGCGAACTTTTTATCGCGTGACCGACCATATCTATGGGAAAATGTGGGCGTTTAGTGTTTCCTTCTTTTTAAAATGTTTTTACCTAGACACTGAGAGCAGAGTGGTGATCCGAAAACGGACAATAGCAATAACGATAAGTGTAATAACCTACTTAATCCTCTTAGTGTCTCGTATGAAATTGATTTTAACGCAGATCTATTATATTATTCTTTCTATGTATAGCTTGATTCACGTTAAAAAATCTTTCCGTTCAAGTTCTGTAAACGTGCTGGATGATTGTTTTCAACAGGTAACGTAAACCGAACATCTGTAATCGCATCGTTGTAACGCTTTCGATAAATTCAAAAAATAAAATAACGATGAAAAATTATACGATTTCTGATGAAAAAAAAGTGATGAGATGATGGTTTAAAAATTGATGAAATTAATCGTTTGAAAGTAGATATAAACTGACGAAAAATCGAGATACGCTACTGTGAAAAAAATCATCCTGCGCAAAATGCATGTATGTATATATATTTTATAAATGTGTGTGTGCGTTAAACATTTTCAGAATTAATAATAAATGATTGAAGTATATTCATAAATTGAAAACACGGGTTTTTATTTCGATTCTAACGTGCACTGTTTGCGTGTACCCTGCTAATACTATTGTATAGTATTAATTTTCCCGTCAGTACTATAATATATTTGCCACGATTTATGCAAAACTCGTGTGGTAACCAGAAACCGTACGTGTCTTATGTTTAAACAATGATTTATTTGATAAATAATCATAATTTAATATATGGCATAAAGTTATTTGTATTAAATTCTAAATATCAACGTTTTCGTGAAGCTATTTCCGTTGCGGATAAGTTACTCTTAACGGGTACGATTCGTATGCCATTGGTTAAAGTGATAAAGAGATTATCAAAATGCAATAGCTTCTTCGACACAGTTCAAAAGAAGTGCATTATACGTTTCCTTATTCCGTTAACATGGAATATATAAAATTTGTTCTTTTAAAAATAAATAAGCTATTACTTTTCAGTATAAAAATTAATCTTGATTTTCTAGATTATTATATAATACCTACAATTTGTGATTAATTTTTCATAGCGATATTGTCAAAAGCTCGGTTAATTAGTACAAAATTAATGTTTTCGTATTCATTATAGTTACTAACCAGTCAATTGTCGTTCTAACGTGAATAGGTTAGACGATTCATTTAGCTCAGATTTTTTTTAATGTTTGCTTGTCTGTGTGTAAATATATTTTGTGCTATGATTATTTGTGTGAACATTACCATATTAGTATACATTCAAAGGTAAGTTCACCGGAGTTTTTGACGATTCCTGTTTATTTTTATGTATATTACTACATTGGCGTTTAGTGGTGTGGAAAATGTAGGGAAATATTTTCCATAAAATCAATAAAAGAATTTTGTCACGACGAGCCCAGTCGATAGTATACTCTACTGTGCAGGAGAAGTTCCGACAGGAGAAATTCTCAGACGACAAAACCATATCTTAAAATATGTAACTAAAATTAAAAATCTGTCTTATCACATCACTAATCATATTCTTCACAACCCATTACCCTCTAATCTATTATCCTCTAGAAGAACATTATTTGAAAACTTTAAAACTATTAGTGAAAATCTATCCTTCTAAACACAAACTCTAAATAAAATTCAACCGTCTCACCCTCCTTGGCTCTGGTCACCAATCAACAATACTAAATTGACCGAATACTATAAACAAAATACTGAAAATTTAATTATACAAAACCAGTTTTTGGAAATAATACACCAACAATTCCCGGAATACACCCAAATTTATACCGATGCCTCCAAAAATACAAATGGTGTAGGTTTCTCTGTCATCACAAACCAGGAAAATCATCTTTTTCAACTACCGTCTTCCACTAGCATATATACAGCTAAAACTTACGCTATTTATGAAGCATTAAAAATTGTCCTATCTTCAAACCCGAATAATTGCAGCATTATCATCAGTGACTCTGAGCGCCCTCTCATCAATATCAAACCTCTATTCTAAAAACGAGCTCGTTCAACATATCTAGAAACTAATATCTAAATAAATAGACCAACAAGTTTCATGTGGGTCCCCTCACACATTGGGATATCCGGAAAAGAGAAAGCTGACACTATAGCTTATGAAGCCATCACATCCCCTTCTTTCACAAAGACACTAACCTCATCCGAAACTTTCAACATCATACAGCATAAATAAATGAAAGAATGGCAAACATTTTAGTCTAACCTACCCCTCTCTAACAAACTTAGAAACGTAAAATTTTCTACAAAAAAATTAAAATACCCTCCTAACGAAGAGATGAAGTAAATATTACTCGAGCTAAAATAGACCACTCACATTCAACACATGGTTATCTCATAAGAAAAGAACAAGCCATGGTGTGAGATACTTGCAATAAGACACTAACAATAGAACATATAATCATAAATTGCACCAAATACACTGAAGTCCGCAAGATCCTCAAAAACCCCACCATACTCCATCAAACATTCAACGAAGACAATACAGATGCAATCAATCTATTCTTCCATAATATAAACATAAGTCATAAATTGTAATCACACTAAATATGTCAATATTTGTAAATGTTAAAATGTATACATATTTATATTAATTTAATGCAGGCTAAAGACCTTTGATGTCGAAGCCTTAATAAATATATAAAAAAAAAAATTTGTCACGAGATACCTGATAGATATCAGCCAGTACCAACATCAATATAATTTTTGAACTTGTTCTCACAACCGTTGGTGATTTGTGTCTTGGAATGAAAGGGTTCACTACGCTGCTAAAATATTAATGTGGTCAACCAACTGAGGAATTGCAATATTAAAATTGACTCGGCTGATTCTTGCCTCAATATACACTGCGGTTAGTGGTAGATTTAAATTAATCACACATTTACAGAGAATATTGATGGTAGCAACCATTGAGGTATTTTTATTGGTTATGTAAAGTAAATTATCTAGTAAAGTGATAGCCACGAAGAATGGCTATCGAATAACCATTACATAATTTATTTGGTGCGTTGTGAAGCGTCTCTAAGATAAAATGATTGTGCACAACACCGATAAAAATACCTTAGTAATTGCCACTAAAGATGTAGTGTATAATTGAATAATCAAATTATTCGAATATCAATATTCTATGCTACAATACCTATTATTATTAAACGTTTCGTGTTGCGCGAAAACTTAAACAAATAATTTTCGTTACGTATTGTATTGTAGCATCGAATACTGATATTCGAATGGTCGAATAATTCCCATCACTGATTGCTACCATTAATAGTATTCGAAACTGTTTGAATCTTTTGAAACTATTTTAAATCGCTGGTGGTGTGATCTAGTCGAAAATTTAATGGCCGAAAGTTAGTGGTCGAAAGAAAGTGATCAAAATGCCATTTAAAGTTTAAACTTCATTTTAACACATTTTTAATGAAAAAATATATATTTCGAGGTCATTATTTCAAAAAAACATATAAATAAAAATTATTGTATAAAAAAAAATTAAATTATTATTAAATAATGTAATAAAATATTGAAATAATTACTATAAATATTTGTAAAATTAAAATAATAAAATAATCAATAAGTAATTACAATTTTATATTTTAAGCTATTCCTTCTATTATATAATTAATCATAACCTTATTCTTAGTTGCACTAGTTTTAAGCATATATTATACTTGAATTTTATTTTTTTTTTAGTACCACGTTCATAAAGTGATACCTGCATCAGTTTCGTTTTGAATAGATTGTAATGTTATGATCAATATATGCAATCTTACAATACTAGGACCTACTACGATAAACCTGCACATGGGTTGCATCTTTAAAAACATTAATTAGATAAAGCTGTAGAAAATCTAATGATTATCTTTGACCAAAATACCTATTTGGTCACAAAATATTATGATCCTATTAATCAAATATTCGACGATTTGTTTTTCGACTATAAATCGAATCGATCACATGATATTATGTGTCATTAGTTACAATTTACGTCTCAAAGATTTCTGAAAAATTGCGTACTCGTATAAAGTTGAGGAATAATAACTTATAATAATTTTCGTGATAAAAAATAATGTGATCTTCTACAGAAAACGAACTTACTTCTCAATAATTTTTAAAATTTAACCGTAAACTTTTATCCACACTATAATTTTAATACACCCTAAACTTATTTAT